TTCATTCCTGCTATTCTCAAGTTTTGTGATTAAGCAAGTGCATTTAGATGCTGTTTGGTTGAGAATCTGTTCTTTTGCTGTTTTAGGTTAAACCAGTCCTTATTCTTAAATGATATTTTTATAAATGTGTTGCATTTGCATTTTCTTCATTGGCCTTAATCAGAGTCAGTAGTGATTTGTGATATAAGAGTTAGACTGTATGGCTGTTGAGAAGAATGGGGATCATTTAAGGAATGGTTGGCAAAAATATAAAAATTAAAGTATATTTTCTTTTTTCCCTCTGTCTTGATTCCTTTTTGGGGAGGAGGCTCTGGATCCATTTCCTCTGAGAGAATAATGTAATGATAGCAATTATGAAAATAAATATATTATTGATCATCAAGTCCTATTTTTCCTCCTTTGGCTTCCATGATAGTGCAGTATTGCTTCCACTGTTTTTAAATAGTCTTGCTCTAACCATGCCCCCTTCTCATTTTGTCCTTTAATTATGATGTAAGAACTACAGTTTCCTAGAAGTTAAATCTTGGGGAGATTTCCCTATTTTTCAGCTTCCATGTTCTTTGGGGGAAACCTTTCACCATCCTCATAGATTCCACCATCATCTGTATGTCTAATTTTCTTTTTTTTTTTTTTTTCCTTTTTTTCTTTTTTCGTGACCAGTAACGGGATTGCAACCCTCGGTGTTGTGCCCGTACCATGACCGGCAACGGGATCGCAACCCTCGGTGTTGTGCCCGTACCATGACCGGCAACGGGATCGCAACCCTCGGTGTCGTGCCCGCACCGCGCTCAGCCAGTGAGCGGACCGGTCTCTATATGGGATCCGAACCCTCGGTGGGAGCACCGCACTCTACCGAGTGCGCCACTGGGCCGGCCCTGTATGTCTAATTTTCAAAACAATCATCTCTTTCTGGCTTAGTTAGCTTTTTTCTGTGGTCTCATGTTATAGTTTGTCTGGATACCATCAGTTAAATTCTTTCAAGGTCAGGATCGGGAACTCCATGTCTCCATTTCCTAAATAATGCTTGTCTCACTTCTCCTTCACCATCAACACTTGCTCAGTTCCCATAGCCTTAAAACTCCTTCCCAGTCCACCATTCTCCTTAAAATTTATTAAAAAAAAATTTTTTTTAAGTCAAAGTTTTATATGTTCATAGTTTAGAGTCAACTAGTGCTAGAAGGTTAGGTAAGAAAAACAGCAGTCCTTAACCATCCCACCTTTTTTTCCCCTTTCCTAAAGGCAGCTATAATACTTTGGACACATTTAGCCATTTTAAAAAAATTCTCTCTCTCTCTCTCTCTATCTCTCTATGTCTCTATCTCCATACATCTGAAGAGCGTATTTGGATTGCTTCCATGTTTTAGCTGTTGTAAATAATGCTGCTGCAGACATGGGTGTACAGATATGTCTTTGAGACCTTGCTTTCAGTTCTTTTGAATATAGACCCAGAAGTAAGATTTCTGGGTCATATGGTGAAATTCTACTTTTAATTTTTTTTAGGAACCATCATACTACAACATTCCACAGTGGCTTCGCCATTTTACATTCCCTCCAACAGTGCACGAGGGTTCTAATTTCTCCATATTCTTGTCGACACTTGTTATTTTTTTTTTCCGATGGTAACCATCCTAATGGGTGTGAGGTGGTTGCTTCATTATCTTTTTGTTTTCTATTTTGCTCTGAAGAAATCTGAAGCTATTCAGATTTTGATCCTTTGTGGAAGATCTGTGCTCTTCTTTGTGCACAGGGTCAAGAAATTTTACAGTGATGTTCCTTGGTGTGGGTCATTTTCAGGGACTTTTTTGGGGACTTGTTTCTCTGCTTTCTTCCCTTCTGTTTTCTGTTCTCTTCTTTTAGAAACCTTCTTACTTGGATGTTGGATGTTCCATTTTGGTCTTTCAATTTTCTTTCCTATTTTCTAATTTTTTTCCCTCCGCTTTTTCTTCCATCCTTTCTATTCAGTTTTAAATTTCTGCTGTAAAATTTCTAATTTCCAAGAGCTCTTTTTATTCTCTGTATCCTTTTAAGTAGTGTTCTTGTTGTTGTTGTTTTAATGGATGCATTATCTTCTTATCTTTCTGGAGACATCAACTATTATTTTTTATATTCTTTATTTGTGTTGTCTTTTTCCTCCAACTTGCATTTTTCAGTCTGTTTTGCTACTTTTCATGATAGAGGTTTCCTAGAGGTGTCTGAAAGTCATTGGTTTTCTTTCTTTCTTTCTTTTCTTTTCTTTTTTTTTTTTTTTTTGGTGGCTGGCTAGTAGGGGATTCGAACCAATGACCTTGGTGTTACCAGCATCATGCTCATTCATATTTAAAAGTCAGGGATGTACAACACATAGAGTTGAATCATATGAAATTGGCATTTTTTCCTAGCTTTATCCACTATAGAAGGGCAAAGGGAGTGACACCTCAGTATCTATGAATATACTTAGCTTTTAGATCTTCATTTCTCAATAACATCTTCCACTAAAAGGAACCAGGACTTCTTGGAGAAATGGCTGATTTCAGCACTGGGTCAGAGAATGCACAAGATGAACACGGAACATGTTATGTGAGGAAATAAGGAAGTGATGAAAAAACATGAAAAGTATGCAAGAGCCAGCTTGAAGGGGTTCCTACTGGCCACATCTGGGACAGTTTGAACATCAAAATGAATAATGATGTTAGTGAATAAAGTAAGAATCTGTGAGTGCATACTGATAATGAATTAAGAAAAGAGAGAATTAGTGGAGAGAAAGGAACATAACTTACTGAAGTTAGAATGTCAACTAATAAATGCTGGAAGAACCATAGAGCTAAAAAGCCCCCCATCATTTTATAACTATCAGAGTATCAATAGATTCAGACAAGATTTGCCAGGGGACACTGAAACTGTTGGGTGAATGTTCTAAGACCATAGTCCCTAAGTAGTAATTAATTACTAAGGGAAAATAGTCACTTTACAGTGAAGAAATCTGGCAGATATCATCTTAACCAAGTGATCAAAATGATTACCAATAATGGGACACATTGACATCATCGTGTGTCTTTTTGTGTGATGCTCTAGGAAACATAAAGTTTCATTTATGTAGTTTTCCTGCCAGAAATGCATAACTTGTATTCTTCAAAGATGTCAGTGAAATGAAAGATGAAAAATGCTAAAGAACTGTTTCAGATGAGAGGAAGTCAAGGAGACATGACATTAGATGTAATCCTGGGTTGAAGGGAAGAGAGAGTACCATAAAGGACATTATAAAATCATGGGCAGAATTAGAAATATGAACTACATAGTCCCTATTCAACAACTAATATGTTAAATTCCTGATTTTTGGCATGTGTACTATGGTTGTGTAAGAGAATACCTTGCTCACTTAAGGGTAAAGGGACCTGATGGCTGGGCAATTCTCAAGTGTTTGGGTGGGTAGGGATGTATGTGGACAGGGAATGGTAAAGCAGAAGTTGGTGAATCTAGGTGAGGGCTCTGTGGGAGTTTCTTGTACTGCTCTTGAAACTGTTCTGCAAATTTAAAATGAAAAGTTTTTTTAAAAGGTTGGAATAAGGGCCAAGCCCGAGGCGCACTCGGGAGACTGCGGCGCTGGGAGTGCAGCAGCGCTCCCGCTGCGCGTTCGGATCCTATATAGGGATGACTGGTGCAACAAGGGGATGTCACTTCACATCCATCAGATCAGTGTGAATTAAAACCTCTGCTGGTGTCAGCTGTTGGCAAGAATGTGGGACAATGGAAATTCGCTCTGTACGCAGGATCCCCGTCGAGGGAGACCTGACAAGGGCTGGTCAGGCGGGAGCTGAGGCTACGTAATAACTTCGTATAGCATACATTATACGAAGTTATACGAAAAAGGAAAAAAAAAAAGGTTGGAATAAGAGTGGCTGATTGGAAGCTCTGGTCTTGTATACCGCTCATTGTGAATTTGTAGCAGATCGATTAGTTGTACTCCCTTTGTTGGGGATCCCCCAGAATATTTTCAGCTCTTTTTTCCTCAAGATCAGCTAGCTCACTCAAAAGACAGTTTTAGTCTTCAGTGTGGAGAGTAAACGTCTTGCCTCTTGGCTGGAAATAAAGGATCCTAGCAAAGGAATCTGTCAGAGGGTGGGCAAGGTATGACGTGTGTCACAGGCAAGTGGGTACCTGTGTCTCAACATTCATTCTACAGTTCACAAAGTCCCTCTGTTTTCAGCATGGCGATCTAATTCCCAGCTGTCTGTGCTGGGGTCTCCCAGTTCAGAGACTTAATGTTTTACCCTGTGGTCATCGGCCAATGTAGGAAGGGATAGAAGAGGGTGAGATTTAGGGATCTAAGTCATTAAATAACTTTGAATCAATATTCTTTCTGTTCCCTTCCAGCACCCGTCCAGTTTTGTGGTCTCCTTCTGGTCCTTATAGATTGTACCTTAAAAAAAAAAGTAGGGCCGGCCCGGTGGCGCACTCTCTCGGCCCATAAACTTTTAATATATATATATATTTTTTTTTTCAAAAGATGACTGGTAAGGGGATCTCAACCCTTGGCTTGGTGTTGTCAGCACCACGCTCAGCCAGTGAGCAAACCAGCCATCCCTATATAGGATCCGAACCCGTGGCCTTGGTGTTATCAGCACCGCACTCTACCAAGTGAGCCACGGGCTGGCCTTAAACTTTTAATATTTTAAAGTTTGGTGTCTTTGTAGTTGACCTTAGTTGGATAAGAATATCATTGATGTTTTCATAAGATAAAGGTAAGAATATGTATTTTTCTTCTTTACTCACTGATACTGCTAATGGCATCTATATTTACTTCTGGGTTATTGTTTAGTGTAGGATAAAAACTGAGGTAGAGAAATGACAGTGCTGTTTTTCTTGTGTTCACATAGAAAAATTTTAGTTTACTAGAACTTTTAAATTCTCTGAGGTATAGTTCTGTGTGAATCAAAACCTTGAACCAGTGTCTTCTAATGGCAGCTTGTCTCAGACCAAAAAAGAACATATGTGATTACCTGCTCTTTTTTTTTTTTTAATAGGAGCGCTTCTGTTTCATATCCATATCCCACTTTATTCCTGATAATCTGCTAATGCAGTAAATTTGAAGAAAACTATTGCCAGGATTACCTGTAATGGGCAAGGAGCCACAGAGAAGAGAACATTTCTTTTAATTTTTGAACTTGGTTTGAAAGGTAAGACCCTTAAGATTATCAGGTGTTTCCTTCCGAGAGTCCCGTCAAGGAGAGCCGTGTTCTGCCGTGAGATCCTGGAGTCTAGATAAACCAGGTTGAGATCAGTTTCTTTGAGCTAGGTACAATATGGTTGTATGGTACTGTGATATTTTTAGGAAGTTAAGTAGAAGCCTCTATAGTCTGCTTTGGTATATCTCAGAATGTGCAGAAATCAGGGGATTCTGTTTCCAGGGGCTATTGAGCTGGGCACGAAGGACCAGCCAGGCCTACCAAGCTGAAGTCTTTCTCTACAAGGAAAGACTGCTAGTAGAGACCTGTGACCCAGGCTGCTGCTTATAGGTCCCCTATCCGTGTGTGCGCGCGCGTGCATGTGTGTGTGAGAGTGATTGTTTTGTTTTTGTTTTATACTAGCCAAATCCACTGGTCTCCTTTTGAGTCCTAACTGCTATCACTTTGGAACTCTTTACTGGAACTTTTTATTGCAGATCTGAGATTGACTTTGCACATTTGACTTTTGGCTCAGTTGGCATTTAATAGGAAGTGGCACATTGGCCTTTTTGGGGAAATGCAAATACACTTAATCCAATTTCGTTTGCTCCGTTGTATCTCTAGGAGAGGGTGGACACAAACCATTTAATCATTTACCTTTCTGAACTGGTGCTAGCTCTAAGACTTGAAATTTTAGCCACTTCTTCCTGTGTTTATTTTCATCCTGATGATCAATCAGTTATTTTCACTGCTATCAAGCTAGGTCAGGCTTTGTTACCTCAGGAGACAGTGTAGGTCTGCTGTGAGGGTCTCTGCTTCTAATCCCCAGGTGAATCTTTCCTAGGCATCTTAAATACTGCTTTGCAAATGACCTTTCTCCACTTCCAGCCCCTCAAGAATGATCCTACTCAGCCTTCGGAGGCTCCCCCTTGTGCTTATACAGACTGTCCAACTCCTTGCCCCAATATTCAGATTCTTGTATAAATCTTATGATTTCTCCAGCCATAACTCCGTATCATTCTCCTGCATGAATCCTATGTGGAGAATTCCCTCCATGTATTCATTCACCTCTTCTCTTGGCTCCTTATCTCATGTGGTTTTATTATTGTTCTGTGTATTTGATTTCACATCTTCCAGGGGTCATCTTTCTTCCTACCTTTTTTGTCAAACCTTTCTGGCTTGTTTCAGTTCCTTTGTGGTCACTCCTTTGCGAACTCATTAAATTATTTTAGAATTGTTTTTTTCTCTAACTAGATTTCAAGTATAGTGATAGTGAGCAAGAAGTTTTGACTTCTACATTATATCATTAGTACTTTTTACATAATAGGTGTCATTAATTGTTTGATGGTAGAAGCTAACGTTTCAGAGGCATTTCTCAGGATATTTTTGAAACTCTTTCTCCCTGCCTCCCTCCTTTTTGTTTTATTTTTTCTTTGTTAGCAGAGTTTCTTAGCTTTGGCAGCTTATAGAACAATTCCTTACCTTTAGCTACTCCTCCTTTTTGCTTCTTTTACTCATCTCTGCTCATCAGCATGCTGTACCACACTAGGACGGGTGAACGCTTCTCTTAAGAAATTACCAGAAGTCTCTAGGAGTCCTAGAATTAATGCCAGGTGGTTAAGAAGGATTCCTAGAGAAGAACTGCACTGTAGGTTAGGGTACTTTACTTGAGGGAGCATCAGACTAAACTTTTATTGCAAAGGACCAGATAGTAAATATTTTAGGTTTTGTGGGCCAAGAGGCCAAGAAAAAGGATATTATGAAGGTATTTATAGAACAAAAGAGAAAACAAATGTTCACAAACTTTGTTATTGATGAGATTCAGAATATAATAATTGAGTTCAACATTCTGTAAAACAGATCTATCTACTAATGAGAAGAGTGGAATTTCTTTTTCTTTTTTCTGGCTGGCCTGTACAGGGATTGAACTCCAGACAGAATTCTTTTTCTAGGGGGATAACATTTCACCTAATTGGTGTTCAAAGTTAGAATTGCTCTCTCATCAAAATCTATTGCAAATGTATATCTAATCTATTAATATTAAACTGTAATGAGATTTTACATATTTTATCTTTGAAAATGTATTTTTTATACAGATAGGTAGGTACTGCCATATTCTGTTAATTGATCCCCAAGGATATGACTTGAGTATATTCATTACTTGGAAGGCATATATAGAATTCTGTTAGATTCTTGATTATTTGCTTTTTAGCATGTCATTACATTGTAAGTTAATCACTTCCAATTGAAGATTAGGCGAAAGCTTTTCAATTGCAAAATTAAATGGACTTTTAAGTATGGAAATTTCCTTTGGCCTTACTTCAAGGTCTGAAACTCCATTTAACTATGTTTAAGCTTGGAAAATATATTCACCGCAAATTTGTATGGGAATGGGGATCTCAATTCTTTCTTTAGTTTCTGACACCGTGGGAAGTATGTGAAGCAGCTTGATCTTTATGATCCAAAGTTAGTAGTTGAAATGACATTACTGTAGTATAAGGTTTGCATGTCATTGCTGTTTTGCCTTGTAATTTTAGGTTAAATTTGTTAAGAAACATAGAGACTTCAGCAAAGACGAGTTTCCATAGTTATCAAGCATTCAGTAATTGTGGTTGTGGGCTGTTCTCGTTCAGAAAAATTTTAATCTTGGCTCCGAGCTCATAAAATCTCAATAAAACTTTACCACTGATAAGCCATCAGTTTGCTGTGTGATAGAGCAGGTCAGTATGGCTAAGTCCATGAGAGTGAATGAAGTTCCTTGTTGATACTACTGGTTCAGTGACATGTGATAGATTAAAAAAACCTTCCTAAGTACCTGCTGATGATTAATAGAAAGAGTAGCCATAAGCTGTAAACACCTTGCATTTTTATGTTTTGTTTTTTTAAAAAATGACCAGTAAGGGGATTTTAACCCTTGACTCGGTATTGTCAGCATCACACTCTCCCAAGTGAGCAACTGGCCATCCTTATATAGGGATCCAAACCCAAGGCCTTGGTGTTATCAGCACCACACTCTCCCAAGTGAGCCACTGGCCAGCCTTACATTTTTATAAGTTTTGTAAATTTGTTCAGCTGAGCCTTTTTTTGCTCTGTACATAATTTTACCACCATCATTTGTGGCACGTCATAGCAGATTCTACTTTAGGTTAGCTTTTCTCAACTTCTTTGAAAATATTCCACTTGTAGTTATTTCATGAAGACTATTCATAGAAGCTAAAATGTCAACCAGTATCACAAGGCCTATAACAAAAAATAACAATCATCTGTTCCATCTTTCCCATCCCTGATTTACTTACTTGGGACTGCTACCTTTAGCTCTTAGTCATTTTCTTATATTTACTTCCACATTTCTAAGTAATATGCCTGTATGTAGCTATTTCTAATCTAGTTGACTTTTCTAACTATGAAAAGCAGTTTTTAGCTCTTACATGTATAGCTCCTTCCCTCTGTCTTCCAGCATAGTTAAAGTATACTTTTTAGATAAACTCAGTATTAAAAGTATGTCTATTTTGGTTAATTATTCCCTGACTCTTATGCAGAATTATTCTCAGCAGGGTCAGATACTTTCAGCAATCCATCAGCTCCATCTCCTTCTTGGACCCATCCTTTTCAGAACCCTCTGCCTCATACCTTTACCCAGGACTGTCGCTCTTCACCTTCTCTGTAGCTGCTGGTGTTTCCCCTCAGTTTTCTTTGGGGAGTCATCTTTGCTTGTCAGTGTCTTGGTTTCATGTATTATAGCCATGTTTTGGTGAAGCACATTTTCTGGTAGCTTCCTGAGAAAGTGTGAACAAATTGTTCAGATCTTCTATGTCTTAAAATGTTCTTTTCTAGACTTGCTATGGAGGAAGCTGGTGTCATTCTGATTTCTGGTCCTTTTGTAAATGTTGTTTTTTGTATTTTCCTTTTTTTTTTTTTTCCTCCTGTCATTGGAAAAATGTAGATACTTTCTTTGTCTCTGCTACCATGGAATTTCACCCTATGTCTTGCCACTCATTGTGATGGCCTGTGCAGGTCTCAAGGAGACCAACATTTGTTAAGTTTTGGGAAATTTTCTTTTTGGGGGATGGTAGATTATACTATGTTCTTCTAAAACTTCTTTTATTTCAGTATTGGACTTCCTGAATCGTTTCTCCATTTTCTTTGTCTTTTCATACATTTGTGAGTGTTCTTAGCTGTCGTTTCCTCTTCCCTTGAACCAACACCGATGGAGCCACTGGCCACAAGAGCTGAGCTATTCCAGAGCCACCACCAATGGTTTTCAGGCTGAGCTGCCCATCCATCTTGTCTGTGAAGTGATTCTCCACCCTGTGCACAAAGACATGCAATTCCCATTCACAAACTTGTTCTGAGAGCCATCTGATTCCAGGCAGACCTGCTGCTTTTGCCGTCTGCAGGCTGAGTGCACACAAAGGTGGGCCTGGAGCTGGGTTATGCTCTTAAGCACTTTGATTAGTTGCTCAGCAGCTGTTCCCACATTGGTGTTAAAGGCAGTGTGGTGTATTGGGGAATATGTCCGACTTCTCAGAATCTTAGTTTTTCCATCTGCAAAATGAGAACAAAACCTTGAAGGGTTGTGAATTACCTAAATGTACCTAAAAGCATGAAGCCCAGAGGCAGTATGGTAGGCCCTTGATAATTGGTAGTTGCTATTAATCAATCCTGTTTCCACTTTAATAGAAAGTTGCAATGTCAAGATAGTTAATGTTATTTTGGAATAGCTAGAAGAGATTGAAGATTGTTTTTCTTAAGGAGCTATAAAGACCAGAAGGACTATTCAGCTCTCATGTTCTACAGTGAATTTTTTTATTCCTGAGCAGTCTCAACAGTCCATGAGGCCCTTGATAATTGGTAGTTGCTATTAATCAATCCTGTTTCCACTTTAATAGAAAGTTGCAGTGTCAAGATAGTTAATGTTATTTTGGAATAGCTAGAAGAGATTGAAGATTGTTTTTCTTAAGGAGCTATAAAGACCATAAGGACTATTCAGCTCTCATGTTCTACAGTGAATT